GGGGTAAAGAGTGAGACTCTGTCTCAAAAAAAAAAAAGTAAGGATACAATAAATATATTCTCAGACCTTCGAGGTCTCAGTGGATTATCATAAAGATCCTGTTTGAAAATACTCTTGGCTGGGCGCGGTGGCTCATGCCTGTAATCCTAGCACTCTGGGAGGCCGAGGCGGGCAGATAGCTTGAGGTCAGGAGTTTGAAACCAGCCTGAGCAAGAGCGAGACCCCGCCTCTACTATAAATAGAAAAAAATAAATTGGCCAACTTAAAAAACATACAAGACACAGATTGCTTGTTTAACCAAGTGTCCTAAAGCATGTACTTGAAGTTATATCATTATTTTTTATTCTGAAAAGCTATGCAGCTTATATTCTAAAAATTATTAAAACATATACCACTGTTAAAAAAAAAATACAGAAAAAATTAGCCGGGCATAGTAGTACATGCCTGTAGTCCCAGCTACTCGGGAGGCTGAGGCAGTAGGATTGCTTGAGCCCAGGAGTTTGAGGTTGCTGTGAGCTAGGCTGATGCCACGGCACTCACTGTAGCCTGAGCAACAAAGTAAGACTCTGCCTCACACAAAAAAAACAAACAGAAAAACTGCAACTCTTCCATAAACTAAGTTTCAAATATTTAATTCTCCAAACATCACCTCCTTATAGCTTACTTTCTCTAGTACCCCAACTTCAACAATTCTTTGATCTCCACAAGAACCTTTACATCATTGATTCTACCACTCTCTTATTGTCCCTCACCCCCTCATGTCCTCACTTCCTTTGTTACCCAGCTTAAATTCCATGGCCAATAATTATAATCAATCCCTTGCATATGCTTCCAACTCACTTGCTCCTCTCTTGCTGTGAAATACTCTTTGACTGACCACAGCCCAGCTTAAATCCAGTTTTTTTGCCTGCTCCATATCTGCACCCAGGAAAATATTCAAATGTTCTTTCTTTTTTAAAAAAACAAGCAGAGACTTCAGTGGCCATTCAAACTTTCTGAAACAGAGTCTCGTTCTGTTGCCGGGCTAGAGTGCCATGACATCAGCCTAGCTCACAGCAACCTCAAACTCCTGGGCTCAGGTGATCCTCCTGCCTCAGCCTCCTGGGTAGCTGAGACTACAGGCACCCACCACCGCGCCTGGATAATATTTTTTTCTAATGTTAGTTGGTTTGGCTAATTTCTTTCTATTTTTAGTAGAGACGGGGTTGCTCTTGCTCACACTGGTTTCGAACTCCTGACCTTGAGCGATCCTCTCGCCTCAGCCTCCCAGAGTGCTAGGATTACAGGAGTGAGCCACCATGCACGGCCTGACTGGTCTTTTAAATAGTCATTAACCTCCAGTGGCTCCGTAATGCTGATTGACAAGCATACTATATTTCCCTAATCCATTCACTCTGACTTTCCTAAATAACACTTTTGTACTTTCTCCTGGAAAGTAGCTATGTTCACCATCATACCACTAATGCAGTATTTTCTCCTGTCTCCCTCCATCTTCTTCTTGGCTGATGACTTAGCGCCTTATTGCTCTGGAGGCAATCATTATTAACTCTACATACTTCTACCACATCTCACTAACCTATCTGCATCTGTACCCATATATTCTTTCTCTCTTGTTACCTGTGGATGAATTGTTGGACTCCTATCTAATGCCAGCCTCTCCACTTGTACACTAGGTCCCATCTCCTCTCTTGAAAGACATTGCTCCAATAATTCTCTGTTCTCTTTTCTATACCATTATATATTTTTTCTTTGAAACATGATGTGTTTTTTCTCAACTTTAAAAAAACAAGTACTCTCTGGGAGGCCGAGGCGGGTGGATTGCTTGAGGTCAGGAGTTCGAAACCAACCTGAGCAAGAGTGAGACCCCGTCTCTACTATAAATAGAAAGAAATTAATTGGCCAACTAATATATATAGAAAACATTAGCTGGGCATGGGCTCTCCAGCTACTGCCCTATCTCTTCTTCCCTTTACAGAAAAACGCCTTTTTAAAAAATTGAGGATGCTGTCTCTAATATCTCTTCTCTCCTGAACTCACTCTCATCTGGGTTTCCCTGGCTCCACCATCAAACCTGCTCCATGCAAAAATACCCATCAACCTTCACATTGTATATACATTGCCATTTTCAGTTCTCCTCTTTCTTGACATAGTCAACAATATTTGAAACTGCTGGTCGATTTTTTAAAAATAATTTTCTTCAGTTGTCTTCTAGAATATCCTGTTCTCCTGTGTTGTTTCCTACCTTTCTGCCACTTCTTCTATATCTTTTTGGATGATTCCTTCTTTACCCTAATCTCAAAATATGGGAATGGACAGAGTTTACTCCTTGGACTTCTTTTCCGTGTACCTTCCTGGTGATGTGTCCTCACCAGTGTTTATGGCTATAGATACCATATGTATGCCTGATGACTCCAAATTTGTATCTCAGATTTGACTGCTTCTGAACTTTGCCTTTGAGTTCGTGAGTCCTGCATATATCCAACGTAGTCTGCGTTGGCGTATCTCTACTGTGCTGAGCTTGCTGATATCAGCACCAAGCTATTTCTTCATGCTTTGTCCCGATATACTTTTTGCCTTGGACATTCTAGCCTTGAATGCGTGTCCGGAGATGAATGGCTATCTGTGGTTGTGTGTGTGTGTGTGGTGGGC